TATCCAGGCAAGTAACTTGTCCATAGTCTTATCGTTTCAGTTCAGATTTTTTTTGCATCACAATTTACATTGTTCTTCCTGATTTTGCCACTGAGTAGATCCATATAAAATTAGAAAAACTTAACCATAAGACTGACAAATTTTCATTATTTTGGGAATTTCTTCTGAGCAGACAAAGCCACAGTGACTTCTGTCACTCCACAGGGGAATCAAAATTGTAATTCTGAAATGTACGTTCTGTCCCATCAGCAGTTGTTTCTATTTCATTAGTCTGGTTCTTGTACTAAAACTGCATCTGAGACATGCATTTAAACTTTAAATCTGTTTCCTTATGTGCTGTGTTTTGAAGGCTCTTTCTTCACCTCTGGCTCTGTGGAGATCTCTGAAACTGTATTTTTGTAAGTTACTGTTGAAAATGCTGAATAGAGCCAGCCCCAGAAGAAGTCTTTGATTCCTCTGCTAACTTAGCTCCAGCATATTGCCCATTTCAGGAGTAGCAGGGCAGCTTGGCACCATCTGTCCTTGTAAACATGCTGCATTTTGTAGTTCCCAAGATTGGGAAGCTCTCATTATGTTAGTCTTGGAAATGGGAGGGAAGAGAGAATAAACTTGCTTGCCACACATGAAGGTGGTACACTGGAACTGCAGGTTGTATGACTTGTCTTCTGTATGGAAACTCATCACAGTATTTTTTATTTTCCTATGAGCCTGGCACCATTATGAAAAACAAAGCCAAAAACCAACCAACGCCCCTGGTTTATTTTAATCCCACTCAGAGATTGTCTTTAAAAAAAAAAAAAAAAAGGCACAAATAGGAAAAAGGCAAATACTCAATTTTCCTTTACAGTGAATTGCAAATATGAGCAAACTCTAATACCGTGAAAGGGAAAATTACAAATGAAAGCCTCTCTGTGATGTCTTTGTACTGAGGATCTCAGATAATTTTACAGTTACCGATGATGACGGCTCAAAGTTTTCCTGAGAAGGCAATGATGTCATTGTGTGACATCAGTAGCCCTCACTTTCAGAAAGTTGCTGAGCTACCAGGTGAAACCCTTTCTGGTTTAGCATCCAAAGCATCTGAATATCTTCCCCCACTTGTAAAAGGAAGTATGTGTTAACACTCCAGTTTTATTACAGCTTTTAGGGCTGAGCATGTGCTTCTGCTCAAGTAAGTAGCTTTGGGTTGGACCAGACCTTCCTTTTACTTTTCTGCCTTTTTTCTCCCATTGATTTAATTCTCAGTGATGTGTTCCTCTTAGTTTTATTAATTATGTTTAAACTTATTTCCCATTGTTCTGTTGACTCTTTCTGGCAATTGTGATTAGTTTGCACCAAGGTAAAATATTGTGGTTTTCAGATATATAGTTTTTAAAAGCCTAAAGTTTATGGAATTCAGTTTGAAATTAAAATTAGAAATCATGACTCTGTGAAGGGAATTTTAACTCTGCTTCTGGGACAGATTAAGTTATTTTACCTGTAGCACCAGTTTTTTAACTGTATTTCTTTCATGATTTATGGAATAATTTTTTATTTGTGTTCATAATAATCTTAAAGTATTAAAATAAGTTTGTTAATTTAGAAACTGAATCTTACATTTACTATAAATGTATAGACTAGGTGTATTCCTGGGTTATGAAAGTGGTGTGGATTTGGGAGTGGGAGAGTAAGGGTTGAGAAGATAACAGCAGAGGTCAGTGGATCTAACATACATATTAAATTCTCCAGATCTGTGTCAATGAAGTTATTCCTGTTGTGGTTTTGGGTAGTTGTTTCTTAATTGACTTCTAGAGAAGATTCACAGTCTTCTGAAGTTTTCTGGGGCTTGGTGAAGAAAATTTGAAGAGAATGAAGAGAAGTTAGCGAGTCTCAAGAGGTGAAATAATATATAACAGGACTTGCAATAGTAATTGTGATACAAATTAAAGTGCAGTTAAGAATTTTTTTCTAGCCAGCAGTATAGATAGTTGCAAAAGTATACACTCCGTAGCAAGCAGAAATTATGCTTAGGTACACTTAAAAAGTCCTCCCCCACCCCCAAAGCCCAAGGATTGTACAGCAGAGCCTGGAGAATGGATAAAACTGTTTGAAAAGTGTCGTTGGCTCAGTTTTCTCACCCATAGGGTTTGACTTGCACTATAAAGCTAAAGTTACAGATTAAGAACTATTGGGGGTCTTCTGACATGAAAATTAATAACACATGGTTTATTTTTTCTGAAGGCTGCACATTCTAAAGTCACTGGCTGTAAGGACTGATGCACTCACAGTGAAGGAATTTGTAACTCTGTTCTTTTTTTATGGGAACATAACTCAGTAATTCAAACTTTGGTTTACCGTTTTTTTCTTTTAGAATTTTTTTCCTCTTGTTCTCTCTCTGTATCCACAAAGTAAAAAAAAATTCTAGAATTTAATTATCATACTAATTAATTAATAGAATTAGTTTGTCCAAAGTCTGAGTAATTTAGAGTGGTGATGACTAGATCTGAAGTGGTTAATTATAGGAAAAGCACAGTTCCTTGTCTTCACTAACACCTTGTAGAAATTCAGTGTTCTTCCGTCAGGTCTGTGTCCAAAGATTTGCCATTCATACATAGCTTAACTACTGTTATGTGTTTGAGGGGGAAGAGTCTGAAATACGACTTCTGCGAAGTCTTGATTGTTTTAGCATCAACAGATGCACTTTTCAGTGCCTCCTAGAGAAGGTTAAGGTTCGGTGTATATGAATGGTCCAGTTAATGTTTGCAGATCGAGAGATATATATATATATATATATATCTACCAGAGGCTGTGCTTTTATTTCTACATTCTGCTTTATAGCACCTTCTGAAGAAAAGAGAAAGTTTTAGTTACTTAGGCTGTATATGGAACTCAATCCTAAGTCAGCAACTTACAATATTGGCACTTTTTGTTGTTGCCTGCCTTCCTTTCCTCCCCTTCCCTGGGAAAAATGGGGTGACTGACAAGTAATCACCCCATTTGTTTTACTTCCCTTTAGATAGAATAATCTTATTTAATTAATCTCAGAAATTTGTAGAATTGTTGAGAACAAAATCTTGACAACAATCAGGTTTTTATAGGTGTCTATATATATTCTTTTTATCAAAATTTTAATTAAAAGTTCCTGTTTACTTTGCAGTTTGTGAACTGCTGCCTTATTAAATCATCCAGCTATTACAAGAGGGGGAATTAAACTGTGTAACACATACTAGCTTTTTAACAAATAAATGTTTTGGGGTTAAATACATACCAGAACTTTGTAACGTTTAATGTGAAATCCACCAATAAGAAAGTATTTGTATCAAATAAGTAAATGATGATAAATAAGTAACTATTCTACTTTATTACTCCTAGAATATTGAACAAGCTCTAGATCATTAAAACCTTGCCTTTTTTGATTGATTATCTGCAGCACATCGTTTTGTATTGAGTAAAGAATTGAGTTTTGAAAAATGCTTGCACTTTCAGGAAGTTGATTTTTTTTTTTAAATTTTCTTCCTCTTCTTTAGACTTAAAACAGGCTTGCTTATGATTTTGAATGTGAATTGAAGTAATAGATTTATACTAAGAGGTATGAGGGCTCTAACCCCCTTGCTTTAGTGATGGGGCAGGTACCAACAGAAAGGTGGGAAAAGACTCCCAGTTGCAGGCAGTCACAGAGAAGGGTAATGTGTAATTTAGAATTAAAACACCAGAAACAGACTGGTATTACAAGGTGATAATTCTCTTGCATCACATTTTTAAAAAATCTTTTTTTATAAAAAGGAAGTACTTGGGATGGTTAATTTTGTATCTATTGTACTTGCAAACAAAATAGAAACTGGGAGATGGTTTATGGAGGTTTGGTTTTAACTCTTAAAAAGTCTGATGGTGTTTTTCAAATACATGGTTTTGAAAAAAGTTACTGTATTCTGAAGTATCACTAATATTTTTCATGTTCTTCTGCTTTGCATATTTGGACTGTCTTGGGGACATATTTCTGGTTCATCTACTTTGATGCAGTTCACACGATTCCTCTGTGATTCTCCTCTGGAGGTATGTATTCGTTCCACATGCAAGCTTTGAAATGAAAATATTCTTTCCTCTCCACTCTGTAGACAGCAAACCAATGTGGTATAGGTGGTATAGATGGGCGTCACAACATCTGTGTCATCACCAACAGGTAAGGAAGGTAGTGTGTTTTCAAAGGAGTCTGAGGACTCTGTTGCTGGATAAGAAGATAGATAATAAGCTACCACTGAATTTCATGTCACTGCATTGAGAGACAGTAGCAGAAAGTGCTGTGTCTTTTCTGTTCTTGATTTTTTTTTTTTAAATAATGTAGTACTGACTAAGTTGCTGAAATTGGATTTGACTCTAATCTCAGTTAAAAGTTTAGGAGCGATGCTGTTGCTTCATTTCAAGTAAGCCAACTGCTGCGGATTTCTTGTGCTTTCTTGTTAGTCTTAAAGAGTGAAGTACCACGTGACTGTAATGAAATTGTCAGGTTATAGTAATTATCTAGTAATTCGATATGTCACAGTTTGAATGAATCCATGTGTGGAGAGTTTGTTGCTTTTTCTCTGTTGAGTCCACTGGCCTTTACATTCCTGAAAGCTGAAGAGTAATAGAGCTCATTAGACTTTATAGGAAAAGGGCTTTTATCACCTCGTCAACTAAAGCGGCAGACTGCCATTATATTCTTAATTTTGTATGGCTACGTAGATGTTGATGCACACTTCCCTGCCAGGTTTATACCAGTATTGTTTCTTACAGACACTTTTTATTGACATTTCGAAGCTTGAGTTAAATTTTGTGTGGCACCACTACAGATGTCTTCAATTAGATGAAGTTAAATAAAAGGGGTTGTATATAAGAGGCCAAGGGATTCTTGAAATTCTTTATTCTGAAACAGTTGCCACAAGCAAATCTAGTAGTGTGTAGTCTGTTTACTCTTTGTAACAAAAATAATTTAAAATCAGATTTAAACCTTACATTATTTCAATTTGTAATTTTTGGATTTTTTTAAATATAGTTATTAGCTGCAAAATAGTATGAACACCCAAAGTCTTCCTGTCTTTCTATTCCTCATTTTTTTATTTTGTTTACTTTCAGTTTTGGCTATGGGCTCTGGCACAAAAAAACGAATAGTTCAAAAAATGATACAGTCTATACTAGCAGAAAACCAGGCAATTTTCTAGCAGTAAACAGGATAATGTAGAGAGAACTGTTTGGGCTTTTTTATTCATCCTTTCATCTGAGAAGCTACATTTAAATGTTTGCAGTTTTACCCTTCGCATGTACAAATACTACCTTGTTTGGAGAGGTGCAGTATAGGAGAATTCGTGGAGGAGTCTTAACGAAAAACCAGTGTGTCCTGGTACCAGGTTGCTGCCAAAGCAAGAGTCTTTGTGGAAGAAGGGCATGGGGAAAACCTGAACTGCTCAGGAAGGACTACCAGGTTTTGGTGCTCAGTGAGTTGGGGGTGTTCTGGGCCAGTGGTTGTATTGGCATTACTAACAGTGGTCTCTGCATTTGTCCTCCCTGAGTTGTTCCATGTTGTCTTGATAAAACAGTTGGAACGAGCCTCAGCATTCAGATGTGCTATGGCGTTACGTAGTGGAATGGTGACTTTTGTTTTGTTTTCAAATCCTTTTCTAATTGCACTTTAGTCTTTCAGTTTTGACTGATGCTAAGCATTAAATCAATGATTTCACAAAACTGCTCTCAAAAGCACCTTTTGAGTGAATTGCTAACTTGTACCCTTTGTTTTAGATGTGTATATAACAATATTTTTTCCCCATGCATTTACGAACATTTGATGTTTCTTCTGCCTTTTTAATACTTATTATGGGATCTTTCTGTAGTTGTTTACAGTCAGTTTTTGTTTAACCATCCTGAATACTTTTAAATTACCAGCTTGGTTTGATGCAACATTGTTCAGTTTTCAGTGATTCATCTACCGGTATGGAGAACAGAATAGATCCAGCACTATGGAAAGTGAGCTGCTTTCCATTATGTATATGATTGTTCTCACTTTGTTTGCTTTTATCCTTACTGAGATGCTTCTGAATCCTAAAGAACTGAAAGGTGTATGTGAATCTAGATCTTTGCTCTTCAAAAAGCACATCAGCTTCTGCTCCATTTTATTTTGTTTGTTGATATGTGTTCATTTTTAGGAGATGTAGTAACAAATGATACGATTACAGGTCTGTAATTGCCAGGGTCACCTTCTGTAGAATGTCATATTTTAGTCACACTCGATGGACTGCTCAGGACTAAATCAAAACTCATTTTATTTAGAGATCTTAGCAAATTGCTTTTCTTTTTTTCTTACAGTGGTGTAGACATCACCATGTCTACATGGTGATACTCAAAGTCCCGTGCTATTGAAGTCCCTTGTACCTTCACAGCTTTATTAATCTTTTTAGCATTTTAAGATTGCTATCACCTTCCTGGTAAAATAGTTGACAGTATAGCTCAAATATTGTACTTTTCCAGTAAGGTACAGTAGGCAGTGTCTTACATTTTGATGCAGTGTGTTGGTTTACTTTGTTTTGATATGGAATCACAGAATTGTTCAGGCTGTAAGGGACCTCCTGAGGTTACGTAGTCCAACCCCCCCTGCTTGAGCAGGGTTGGCTAGAGCAGGTTGTCTAGGACCATGGGTCTTGAGTATCTCCAAGGATGGAGACTCCCCAGGCTCTCTGCCCAGCCGGTGCCACGTTCTCAGTTAAAACCTCTTTCCTTCTGTTCAGATTGAGTTTCATGTGTTTCAATTTGCATCCATTGCCCCTTGTCCCGTCAGTGGTAACTACTGAGAAGAATCTGCCACCCTTATCTTCATTCCCTCCCGTCAGGTGTTTCTACATACTGATAAAACCTCCTTTTGTGTCATCTGTTCTTGAGGCTGAAGAGTCCCAGCTTTCTCAAGCTTTCTTTATACCTCAGATGCTTGAGCCCTTTAATCGACTTTATGGCCCTTATGGACTCCCCAGTAAGTCATTTTTTTCCTGCTGGTAGCACTTTGCCTGCTGCAGCCCAGGATGCTGTTGTTTTGGGGTTTTTTCTTTTTTTTTTTTTTTCTGCGAGGGCTCATTGCTGGCCCTTATTGCTGCTACCTCTCTGCTGACACAGCCTATATTTGTAGGCTGCTTTCACAGCATCTCCAGTAATCCCTAATGAAAGCAGGACATAGTAGTGAAAAGGAAATATGTTGCTAACCAAGAGATAGAAATCTACCATATGGAAGGTTGTGTGTGTGTATGTACCTTTGGGAAGGGAACTGCTGGAATTAATCACTTCACTTTTTTGGCAAATAATTTCCACTGGAGTGCAGAAGTAAAGGGGTTCCTGGCTTTTCTTTTTTTTTTTTTTTTTTTTTTTCCTGCTTTGTGTAAGGGGTAGCTTGGATTTCCTATCTTCCTCCTCCCTCCATCCACAGCAGAGGGTAAAATGGAAAATTTCAAGATAGGAAATTTCATTAAACCTTCCAGAGAGAAATAATCATGCAGTTAGTATGGTCAGGACACATTTTTGGTAGGTGAGTACGCAGTGCCTTCTGCAGTTGCAGACTGGTCTGGCATGTGGGTTAACAAGTGCAATTTCCATAATAGTAATAATAATAATAAAGTAGTAAAACATCTATTAAAAGTAAAGAGAAAGACCAATGTGCTTTGAAGAAAATTGAGTGCTCTCATCATCACTGAAATTTAATTATAAGCAGTTATTACATAGAGGTGTACTAATTGGGGCAATATATAATACCAGTTCCTATTAAATATGTAAATCTTAATAATGTGTTATGAAATATGAGCAATTGAATGTGTTCACAGAATCATTAGCTAGCAGAATATGAAGACAGGTAGAATTAACATGTGATGGAATATATTGTATTTTTCTCTGCATTACAGTCTAAACGTTGGAGAAAAAAATATTTGTTTTAATTTTTGTCCTGGACATAGTTATTTTTAAATTTTTTTTTCCAATATCATCAGATTGTAATACTTCATTGTCTTGAGGTTTGAGTATCAATTGTTAATTTTAAATAAGGTGGTCCCTCTAGACTGAGTCCAGGGCTGATGTGTGTTATTTTGGGTAGATAAGGTAAGCCCCCTCTGGTGCAGCTCGCTCACCTGGTGTCACTGGTATATTTTACATCACCTTTGACAAGCACAGTCCCAGCTGGACATGGCAGCAGTGTGAAATGGTATAACCCACTTCAGGAAAATGTTTCGTATTCCAGACCTGTTTCATGTCAGATTGCCTGGATGGTGCATGAGAAATCAAGGTAAAGGAGCCAAGTATTCATTGAGATATTGGAGAAAACATAATACTTACAAGCATTACAAAGGCTTACATTGTATGAAAACTTCTCAAGGAGGAGGAAAATGTTACTCTTTTTAAAATTGTTATTTGCTTAATGTAATGGAAATCCCTGAATGTTTTGCCTGAAATCGGGGCTGTGTTTATTATGTTTGTTACAGAACATAGCCTCTCTTATGCTCATGGCATTTCATTGTAATTGCATTAGAGAAATAACTGTAGTTTATACTTTACTAGAAGTTCTTAACTCATGCTAATGCTTCAGTTTGCAGAGCTCTGGTGACCGAACCCTCTGATGCCATTTGGAGGTCTGGGGTCACACACAGACACAGCACACATTTGCTTTGAGTGAAAATCTTTTCCATGTTGGGTTAGACTATCTTTTTTAAACATTCATTAAATCCTGTATGATGAATTTTTGACAAAGAAAGAAAATATGTTTTAACTGAAACTTAAGCAAGCCTGTGTTATATTACCAGTCACAGTTCCCCTTGGAGATGTTTCATTTTTTTCTGTCACCAACTGCACCTTGGTAGCTGGGACGAGAACCCTTAGAGAAAATCTCTTCTTTGACTGTGTCCCAGCTTAAAAGTTCTACTACTGCTCACGTGATTTCATTTAGCTTTTCTGGAAAGCTGAGGCTATTATATGAAACCATAACTGTTGAATAAGTAAGCTTTACCTGAATGAGAAGAAACCCAGTTTAATATGCTGGTATCTGGGTCTGATATCCTTGTATACTGCAGATTGAGCTCTCTAGTGTTTGGTCGTTTCACTTTTACAATATCTGTAGCTCCATATCTAGTTTTATGCTATATAACCATATAAAAATGCACACATTTTATTATATGGCCTTTCTTTTGGGACTTGTTGGTTGGGTAAGTCAGTTGAAATGATTTTTTTTTTTTTTTGTTCACATGATTGATTTCTTTTGACACATGTGGTACCAATTAGAGTAACTTCTACTGCCTATCATATCTTCAGTCTGTGCTACTGTATCAAAATACTTGATTAAACCCACCTTCTGTTGTTGTAATGCAAAACAGTTGGTAATAGTAGGCAATATTGTCAGATTTATTGAGTGAGAAGCAGCTTTCTGAAGATCTGGCAATGCAGTGAAAAACATGACTAGATGGATAATTTAGTTGAGCACAGTGGAATTCAGGATGAAAGTAAATTTGATGTGGGAGAAAATGGCATGCCAAGGTTGGTTGTGTAATACAGTTTCAATTAGGAGATCATTTTCTTCTTAATTTGAAGCATCAGTTTCTGGCTCTAGGTGCTTTACCCCGTCCGCAGACATACTTCACTGCACATTCAAAACCACAGTGCATAGCAATAGTGAGTGAGTGAGTGTTTTTGCAGAAGATGCTCTGATGTGGGCTGACAAAGATGCTCCACAGCTTCTCTGGCAACGTAGAGTTTCAGGTTCTTAGATAAAAGGTGGTTTGTTGGTCATAAAGAGTCAAACTCACATAAAGAGTAAGCTGTTCGGTTCTTTTTGTAAGTGCTTTTTTCAACCACCTCATTGGCCGCTCTGAAAAACTCAATTTCTGTGGCCAAAGTACTTCCAGTCCTTGGCAAGTATGGGGGAGAGAAACAGCAGGGTCCTTGCTGGGACAGAAGGTGTTGGGGGAACTGGGCAGTTGCAGCCAGCTTTGAGAGGTGACAGTGTAGTGAAATGTTGGCATTTCACCTTTTCCGCCTTTGGGCTTTGTCTCTTGTTGAAGAGTAAGAAGTTCCAATTAAAGAGAGTCTGCAGAATTTTCTTGCGTGTAATAATGCATTAATAACTGGCTGAATCACATTGTTGTTTTATCATTTCAGTACTATAAATGCCAATGGCAGAGGCTATTTGCAGTTTAATGTTTGGGAGGCATGATAAGTAGAGTTTACTGATCATAAGTGCAGCAAAGGTCACAAGTAATACAGTTAACTAACATTGTTTTCCCCGTTTCTCAAATTCCTTTACTCCTTTTACCAAACACAGATAGCAGGTGTAATTTCCCATAGTATTTACTTCTGTGTTAAAATTCTTTCTAAAATGGTTTTTATACTGGAAGTCTACCCGTCAGATAATTAACATCCCTCTTTTGTTTTTGCTCAGGCAGAGAATGCACCAAATGGACCAGAATGTGGCTATGGTTCATTCCACCAGCAGTATTGGCTGGACGGGAAGATAATTGCTGTCGGTGTGATCGATATCCTGCCCTACTGCGTGTCCTCCGTCTACCTGTACTATGATCCAGACTATTCTTTCTTATCTTTGGGAGTCTACTCTGCATTACGGTAAGAGGGCATTTTTGGTAGCTGGTTAGACAAAATAGTAAGAACTGATACTAGTTCCTAAAACTGAGCTTTTATTTCCAGTCTAAACGTATACTGGCAACACTATCTCTATCAAAGTATTTGTAATTTTTTTTTAATTCTTTGCAATTGGTTGTATTCCTTGAATAGGGATGTATCTTTCTAGTTAGCTCAGTACTTTTAAAGATTAAAAAAACACTCAGAAATGAAATACCTAGTTTTTATTGCCCCTGAAAAATAATTTAGTATTGCTTGGTTTCAGCAGGAAAAAAATTTTTGTTTGAACAGAAATAATTTTTCCTTTGACCTTTTTCTTAGCCCAGTCACCAAATGGAATTAATCACTTTTATAGTTTTATGCACATTGAGATCGTAAATAACAGAATACCTAAAAACCATTGTCTCCTGAATTAGTAGTCTCCTGCTGTACTAGCACTAAGTATATTTTTCAGGTATGTTAATCTCATTATCTTTGGCTTTAGAAAGCCTGATGGAGAGAGTAATCCTATGAATTTTAAAGCCTTAAATTAACTATTAACCTAGTCTTGTGAAACAGTAGGAACAGTGAGTAATGCTTTTCACTGTGAATAAGACTTGTATGCTAAATTGCAAGTTACTGCTTCTCTTCCATAAGCAGTTTTATGATTCCATTATTGTTATAAGAAAAAAACCCCTAAATGAGTAGAAATATTTGTGCTTGTCAGTTTTTTTCCTTAGCTTTTTTGCTTCTCTGTTTGCTTGACACAGACACGTGTTATTCCCAGTGAGGTTCTCCTGAAGCAGCTGGGTTTGGACTCTGTGCCAGACCTGCCTATTTCAAGTTTGCCTAGGTCTGAGAAGTTCTAGCAAAAGTTGAGATTTGCACTACAATCTTTCATGTATGAAAGATGTACAAGAATTGGGGGATCCAGCTTTCTTCTTTCTCCAAGGCACCCTGTAGAGGGGCATCTTCTCTACAGGTGGAGCTTCCTAGCTATTGTTTAGCGTTACCCACCAGGATGAGTAAATATGACTTCTGAAATATGTAAAGGACAAACACTATTTTTAGGAAACCTCTTCTTATCACAGTTGCTTCATATATTTTTGTGATAATTAATAAGCTGTGTGCAAGTTAATCTCTTGGAAATTTCATCACTCATAATTTGTTTAGATTTTGATTAGGATCTTTTGATTTCTGAATAATTTTTTTTTAGTTCTCCTTCTGGGTATAGTCTTCTCTTTGTAGTGGTGAATTTTGTGATTTCTGAATAATCTGTATATGAGGTGTTCAAATGCATACATCTCAGGGTTTTTCCCACAAAGTTCCCTATGAAGTTGCTGACACCAGTCTAATGGTTTATTGCTGATGAAATGAAGTGCTGCAATCACTCCTCTCCATCTCTGCTGTATGCTGGGCTTCTAGTAACCATATATTCAGCCAGTTTAATTTACTCAACAGAAGACTGTTTACTTTACAACCTGGTTACTGAGCTGAGCTAACTCAGTGAAGAACTTGTTAACACCAGAGCTGGTGCAAGAGTTGTGATGGAGCCAGAAGCATGCAGCTGAGAATGGTGAGGGGGTGAGAGAGCAGGACCTCTTCCCACTCTCTGGCAAGCTCGTAGGTCAGTTCAGTCCTAAAGTGCAATTTCTCTGAGTGTGTAACTTTTAAGAAGGGCTGATAACATTGCCTTCTGGTGGCTCTCACCACCTTCTTCTAGAATAGTTCCAATATGAAGGAGAAGGTGTAGACTCAGAGTTTAGGTTGGAAGGGACCTCTGGATGTTATCTAGTCCAGTTCCAGCACAAATCAGAGCTGACTTCAAAGCTGTCATGAGCATTAATGTAGCATCTCAGTGGTCTTTGTCTAAAAGAGTCTGAATTGTCATTTTTCTGAGGCATTCAGTGACACTGGTGGTTCTCTAAAATTAATCAGAATTAACAAATGTAGAGAAAATGTTGGAACTCCTATGATTTAGAATTGATTTTTTTTTCTATTAGTGGTCTAGATTTTTAGAAAAAAATTATTATATATACTAGATACTTGAAATTAGACTGATTTTTTTTCCATGTAAGGTGAGCATATATCATAAAATACTAAGTCCTCCTAAGAGTTGTGTTTTATTATTCATACATATCACACATTACTGTGTGTAAGAATGGACTGACATAATCCATTTTCATGAATTTGTGAAATGATTTTAAATTTTCTACATAATAAATTTAAAACTTTGTCAGTGCAATATGCATACGTGGCTCAACTAGTGAAAAAGCAGCTTATAAATTCTGCAGCTTTTAAGGCAATAAAAATGAGTTCCCAACAGTCTTGGAGGGGGCCAGCCTTATTCTTCTTTCAAAAAGGGAAAAAAAACCAACTTGAGCGTTAGGGAGGATTTAGGAAGTTGCAAAGGAATCTGATACCTTCAAAGCTGTTCCCAATTTTACTCCGAGGAGGTTAAACTGCAATGCAGTGCTGTCACTTCCACTTCATGCTACTTTGAGAATTTTTGCTGCTGAGTCGTAGAAAGGGTGGGATTTGAAGATCACTTGAAATATGTAGGCATGTAAGTAAAGAATGAGGGGACAAGCAGCTACTTGTGAAATATCAGCCTTACCAAAGGAAAAAAAAAAATCATCAAGACATATTGAGTGATTCTTATTCTTATTTGCAGGAAAAAATTAAACCTTCCCTTACTACCTGAAATCATGAGTAGTAAGCAAACATAGTATTCATAATCTCTATTTAGTAGGAAGAAAAATACTTGAATTTCTTTCGGAATGGGGTTATGTAGCACTGACATACTAAGTCTGATTCTCTGATGAAATGAATAAGTGTCTTCCTAAGCTAACAGCCATTATAACTCTTTAGACATGCGCCATAACTGAAAGCTTTACAAAGGAGTAATTGCAAGTTTCTAGTCCCTTTTCCATAGGAAAGATACAGGCAGAAGAAATGTAGGTAGGTGTGTGTTGTGCCATACAATGACACCTCATTGCTGCTCCTGGTGTAAAATGATGGAGTTGGCGGACTCTCTTGCGTGGGATTGCAGCACATACTCCTGATAAGCGGAAAGTAAAGGATGTTTTAGCATCCTCAATAAAACTTTGCATGGAGGGGGACTGGCCGAATAGATAAATGAAACACCGAGCAAGAACTTGACCTAAGTGTCCTTAACTATATCACTGGAGACTGTAGTACATGTGAAGACACTGTCAGTAGTTCTAAGCAAGCTAGCTTTGGTGTCATGAGCGCTAATTTGCTTGCACAAAGCTTTGTTGCCCGTGGTAAGACTTGCTGCTGCCCAAGTTTTACCTCTTTGCATGATGGTCTGTGTACTTCACTTTCTGTTCACTTTGAGTCTTTGTTTTATTAGATCGGACAGTGTAGTCCAAATG